TAGAAAGCCCCAATGGTTGGCCAAGTTCCACTTCAGGTTCTTGCAACCAGCAGCCTTTGAGGGGTGGAGTTCATGACACCTCCCCGAACCTCAGCTTCATATCTGTCCAATTAAGATCCACATTCTCCTAACTATAAAAATCTGTAATTTCTCTTCCTGTGTCTGGACATTGAAACAGATAAAATTAGGGAAAATGTTTGAATTAAATCTAGATTTTTATTTTCTAAAGAAATTAAAAATATTTACTTTCTACTCAAGTCAAAGTTTATTTCATACTTCATTCATAGTACATATGTGGCATTCTGAGGGATAAAGAGCTGCCAAAGACAATCATCTAAGATCTGAAATGACCCCATTTTAATGTCATGCAATGAAAATACCTGCAGTTTAGAAATGTGAAAGTTGAATATTTATTTAGTATGTCATCTGTCTGGCTCTGATTATAAGAAAACAATGGCAATTAGGCCGTGTGTTCAAAGAATCAGTCACACACATTTTTAAATAGTGTTAACTTTTAAGTGGCTTTAATTTAAAGTTTGTTGCCTTCAGTAAGAGTCCAACTGATACTGTCCTGAAATAAATAGGTCTCCTGATTGATTAAAAGACTGAACCTCTGTCTTATATTTCAGCTATTCTCTTAGTAGACAAGGAATCATTAAAAAAAAAAAAAAATATATATATATATATATATATATAAACACATAGAGAAGGTAAGTAATGAATGGCTGTTTAGTACATTACATTCACAAGTGATGGAAATTTTTTATCAATATCAGTATGTCAGTATGTCTCAATTCTATAACTAATAGCTTTTTTGGTAAAAATTACATTAAAATTACAAGTGAAACTTACTACACTTGCTTCAATCTATAAATCTGATCAACATAGATTAGATTGGTTTCCATTAATATAAATGTTCTACAATTCCTCTTATGACAAAACATCGAATTATTTTCTAGAATACCTRCAACTAACTATGAGCAAGTGTCTGAAATATGTCCCTGGGGTTTCACACCTTCTCTAATCTTTCCAAGAACTCTCAAAGTAGATTTCATTACCAATGAGAGCCCAGAGACTCAGAGAATTTACATGGCCTGCCCAAAGCCACACAGTCTGTTAAAAGTGATGATGTTGCCATGTGTACCCAAGTCCATCTGGCTTCAAAGTCTGTTCTATCCCCATTAAACAAAATGTCTTTGCCCTTACTTCACACCCCACCCCCAGCTCCGGTTTTTTTCTTGAACTTTCTTACAACGTTAAATCATCCACTTAAAGATGTCAAACAATCTCATTGTGCAAGGATTGCTGTCAGATCTCATTTGACTCACCTTGCCTACCATTTTTCCTGTTTACTCTTTCTCTAGCCTCTTCCTTTTCCAAAGCTGAGAGTAGATTAAATCAGCTACTTCAACCTCAGAAAAAATATACCATATGCCACTTGGAAACAGAATATTTGTATATTTCTGGGTAGTGTTTAATCTGCAACAGGGTTATAAAAAAATAGAAAGATACTAATAGAGACAAATCAATAAACTTGGTCTCGCTAAGTCAAGTCAAATCCATGCTGGCTCTCTAATCTGTCTCTTTAGTATCCTACTTTAAAATGCTGTTCCAATTAATCCTACATATTCATGGGGATAATCTCAAAGGCAAGATAATCCTCATGTGTGTTCCCTTTAATAGGCTGACGACTCAGCCACCACTACCAAAACCTAAATTCACTCACAGGAACCAACTGTCCATCCGCACTTTCATCAGGTTGGGATGTCCTTCCACTCCTGCAACACCAGCAAGCCTGCTTTGCATGCACTTGAGCCTTAAAATAAGGGAAATGTTGTAAATCTTTTTTTTTCCCACATTCTCWCCCTTATTAAATTTTACATTCTTGTAGAAATGCAAGCTCAGTCCTGCATTTCTCACTATTCTGAGAAATTCCATTTYCTCCAGATTTTGAATTGCCTTCAGATACTCACTATGTGCAGAAAAGAAAACCCTTCTATCTTCTGCTACCAAAATGTTTCCATTCTTCCTCCATGACAATAATTGTTTGTGTGTGTTCCTTTTTCTACTAAGCAATTCATCCAAAAGTTTTCAGTTAAAACCTTGCTCAATCACCACTATGGCTACTTTTTTTCTATCAGTTTCTCAATTATGCCCAATGTGAACTTATTCTCTTTGCACAATTCACCCTTAGCTCTCTCATCTTCTATTTTCCTGCCTGGATAGGTCAATGTAGTTGAACCAAAATGTCCTGCTTTTCCTCATTTCTGTCCCCATTGTCTTGAGATTCCCAGAGCAACCTCTCCTCTTTGAGCTCATTACTGCATTTTTCTTAATCAAAAACTTGACTTCCTAAAACATTAGCCTGCTTAATGAAGAAAAAAAAAAGCCATCTCCATTAGTTGCTCACTGTCATTAATCTATGTAAAATATACCTTAAAAAATCTGCATGGAAAAGGTAAAAAAGAGGACAATTAACACCTGAGTATTTATACATTTTTCTGTCTTATAAAAATCTCACAATACAAATAACTTCATATGTAAATAAGGTTTCACCCTTTGCAATAAAATATTTATTTCAGAGGATAAAGGAAATAATGTCAACCTTCTATGTTAATCATAAAAATATGTTTAATCACAGGAAAAGAGCAAGTCATTTTTTTCCAGCTCTAAAAATATTTTAATCATGCAAAATCAACATAATGGACTCTAGAACAATGCTAAAATGTTACCTAAGATGAATTGGCTTTTATTAGCTTTACAGGATGTATATTTGGCAATAGTTATTAAAAATAATTACTCTAAAGGAATTCTAAATATATTATTTTAGAAACAATATTTTAAAATACAGCAGTAAGCAACAGAAACTATTGTTCTTTATACATTTTTGGCATAACACTGCCATACAGTTACAGAATTATAAAATAAGTATTTTATAGTACCATACAGTTCCAGAAACTGGTTACAACTTCTACCACATACACATGGTATTGGTACTAACAAACATGCATAGCATTCTGTAGTTCACACTGCAGTTGAATACAGAGCACAGAGAAGGCCCAGTGGCCACTGGATAATCAGAGCTGATGTGACAAGTAAAACACTTCTTTGTAAGAATCATATCCGTTTTCCTAAATATTCAAAATACAAAGGACACGATAGTTTCCAACTTTAAATAGTGACTACACTTAGCCAGACTGATCGTCTTAGATAATACAAAAGATAAGACAATATCCTACTTGGGAAACAGGTAAAAGGCCTTTTTAAGAAAAAGGGGGGGGGGGGGTGGGAAGTTGTCAGAGGACCTAAGGTTTTGCTCTCACTTGCTTCTCTGAATGGTAATGCCCCACGATCACTGTGCTGGCAGCTCTTGACCATGTGGGAAACAGTACTTTAACAACCCACCTGTCACAAGTCCTTCTCCTGCTCTGCAGCCTGTCCCTCAATTGAACTTCTAGTTGGTAAAACCACTGACTGTTGGTACACATAGACAAAGGAATTAAACTTGGTATCTGATCATTGATTACTTCCATCAGTCTAAGGGAAGATTCCAACATGGAGTAGGCAAAATTTGTGGTTTAAGTGAGTATACTGACAGGATCTATTTCCACATCAGTCACTGATCTCCTTGGCACAAATAGTTCAGAGATGATTCTCAGAGCGAATCCCATCACTGAGCTTCTTTAGACCATTCCTCACTTAATTCCAATAATACTGACACTTGTACAAATTTATAATTTGTGGTCTTTATTTCTGTGGTTTCTTATTACTGTTTCTAATTTTTTGTTTCATTAGTTTTCTTTTTTTTTTTTTACACATGAAACTAAATCTGTTAGCACAGGAGAAAACAAAACAATTGACCAATGAGTGCAAAAGTTGAACATTTCTTGGACCTAAACTTATATGTAACTATCTCCTTAATGAATAGAAACTGCTACACAAACTCCTTTAAAATTTAAAAAATGAAAATATGATAAACATCATAATTTAAATATTTTTCTTAAGGTGTTCTGATTTACAAAAAAAAAACTTTTAGCATAACATGTGAGCATTAATACCTTTTCTTTTAATCATTTTATTAAAAGTTTTTGTATGTTACTCTGAAAGAGCAAACCAAATTTTTATTAAAGGATGGGGGGGGGCGTGCATGGAGGGTTGGAATTTTAATGCTTCCTAAGATAATTATAAAGAGTCACAATTCATACAGCAGATCCTAATTACTCACAATTTTGTAAACAACTACAAAGTGGTGGCAAATAAATTACAGCAGATATTTTGTCAAAACTGATACCCATTAAAATTGTGTGTGGAGTGCAAAGCAGCCTATCCTCCCCAGAGGTCAGAAATCATAGGGCTCAACATGCTCATGATCCAGAAGATGCCCTGAGGACCCAGCAGGTCAATGAAGAGGGTAAAACCTAGTGCAGGCTCCATTCCCCAAAGTATCCACTGGGGTCTTAGTCACCTCTCCCTCTCTGACCTCCACCTCTAGCCAAGGTTTGGGCCATAATACAAAAAAATTAATAAGAGTCTCCAACATGAAGACTTTGATCCAGGAAAACAACATATTAAGAAGTTATTTCCCACAAATAACTAAAACAAAAAACTTCACAACAAAATAGGAAAAGTTGATGACACAGAACACTTTCTCTAATCTAGGAAGAAAAAAAAAAAGAACAGGGCTTTAAAAAATGTATGAGATTATAGCATAAGTTTTTCAAATTAATTTTAGATTCCTACAAACATCTACTGAGATTAAAGTTTTAATGACTTCTCTTATATAACACCATTTTCTGCATCCATCTGAATCTAAGAACAAGAAAGAAGTAAAACACAGATAAATATTACTTGTGTAGTAACTAAGGAATGGTTAAAGTGAAAATTACACCATGTAGCAAAGAAAAAGCATGAACACATGAAACAATACAGGTTAATCTTTCTTCCTCGAAACTCTTGTCAAATATCACACATACTGTGGTGAGTACACTTTTTTAATGAACTTATGCTCTTATTCCAAATGACAATTTCTCCAAAATGATAAAGCACCAAAGTAAATTTCATTAAAATAACTGATGTGATATACATGGTTTGAATAGTTCCTTATGACAAGATTTTACAATGGAGTAAAAGTGTAAACATCCGAATGAAAACCATTTACATTCATTAAGGCACATCTGGACACCTCCAGGCATTCATAACTATATGATTATTAATTTCAGTAGTAAGAGATTTCTACAGTCTGTCCCTGAACACAATCTGCTGGGTGGGTTGGATAACTAGAACAAGGCAGAAGGCAGGGCAGGACTCACTGTCACCCTAGAGATTGCCCACACAAATCTGTTCCTGTAATGAGCCACACAGAACTCAATACTGAAAGAAGTCAGGGGACAGACACAATTCCTAAGTCCAACGTTTCCTAAGATCATCTTTGGCTACAACTGCACCTGCATTCAAATGACCCTAACATGTCTAATTCCTGCCTTATATTGAACGCACATGCCCCAAAGAGAAAGTGGAATTTTCTAATGGAAAACAAAATAGAAATCCTGAAAATATTCCTGAAACAAGGGATCTACTTACCTCAAAGGACATTAAAGACTTGTAGATGTCATTAAATTAAATTAAGCAACATCTTTCTGTTCCTGGTTTACATAACAGAGATTTTAGAAGAGCCTCTAATACAGTTTCTTAAAAAATAAATGTTTGACTTACTCAGTGGATTATAAACTCAGCCATAACTCTATTGACTTGGGACATTTAGCATTAAAACAATTAATCAAATATTCTCTTATTCATCAATCTAACCAGATTTTGACAATTTGATATGGTTTATTTTACCAAAATGATGTTTTAAAGACTAACTCAGAGGTATATTATACTGTTTTTCCTTTTTCATCATACTTTCAYTCAAATTAAAGTATAAAAGCTAGAAGCAGAATAGGTAATTTTATATGACAAAATATGAAACATAATGACTATAACAGGTTTTATGCCATTTTTATGTTTATATTTTTAATACTTAGCAAAAAATACCAGAACTTCCCTAAGAACTCCTGAGTTGTAAATTTTATTTTCTCTTTGAAGCTGGGAAAAAAAGTACTCTCAAAATCTAAAACAAAACTATACAATATAATTTTTAAAGTGACAACTGACTTGATTTAGAGAAAGCAGATATATCTTCATTTCTTTTATGATTCTTTTGAATTTTTTATGAGATTGAGCATGATAATGTATAATGGTGCAATAATCTTAATGTTAGAAACTTCTCTACTGTACAGAAATATATCTTATATATCACTTTAAAGTATTTCAAAATAATTTCACATATTTTATCTCCTTTGATATATGAAAGCACAAAATATTAGAAATATACTAGACTAAACAAGCAATATAACATCTATTTGCCATGAAATTCAAGTTACTATTTTATTAATAGCCAATATTAACTATCCTTGCAGCCTGTAGTACAACAATAAAGACTATATTTGCAAATACACAATAATGTTTCTAGTTATTTGGCCATGCTTCACTKAATTTTCTATAACAGCTTCTCTGTAAATTTCTGCAAGCACATGGTAGTTTTTAAAAATACAAAACAGAAGTGAAACCCCAGGGGGCAGTTTCATATCTAAGACACACATAAACACATATCTATAGATCTTATTTTAAAAAACCATTAAATATACAAAGTATTCTTAATATAAAAAGTTCTAGACATTTAATTTTTATCTGCAAAAAGAATGTCATCCCTACTTATTCTCCACTTAATAATTCTCTCATTAGTTATTTACAGATTAAATGTAGCAAACTATAGTCACATATGAATATACATTTAAAAAACACATGATGGAAAAAGGCCACTATTTTGGATGGAAGCCAGAAAGTTCTCCCCTTGAAACTAAGTATTCTCAAATAAAGTAGCACAATGTAACAAAATCCCTCATAAAAAATAATATTTTAAAAACTAAACTGTTAAATGAAATGTTTTTCTTCTGAGGGCTTTAATATACTGTAATTTCTAAGTAGTTCAGATTATATTCATTTATTTTAGTATCTGGTAATGGTAACTGTTAAAATATTAACAGTTACTTATCTATTAACAGTTACTAACATTTAATATTAAACATATGTGACCGATTAGTATCTGTAACTGTTAAAAATATTAGAAGTTAAATTAAAATATTAAAAGTATTAATAGATGCCAGATACTAATCTGGTCACATGTTTAATACTAAGCATTTAAAAAGCAGTCTGAAAGTGTCTATACACTGTCTATACACAACTAGTAAGATATTTTGAATTAAATTAATATTATTCCTATAATTCAGCCTAATTTGACAATTCACTCTTATCCACTAAACTCTGTGGAACTGTTTATTAAGATCTAYAGGGACACTGCTATGACAAGCACCGTGTCAGAGGATCCATGTATTTCCTACACGTAAAAAAAAAAAAAAAAATGGAAAAAAAAAACTTAAACTGTTACCTCAAATTCTTAATACTTCAATTTGACATGTTATAGGAACTAAAAATGATAAGGTATTCTATATTCTACATATTGAAACATGAAATAAAACATGAGTGCTACTAAGACTTTCATGAAAAAAATCAAGATTAAGCAAGTGGGGTGTTTTTGCATAAATTTCAAAGCAATAAAATCATATTTCTAAAGACATACTATCAGTGTGATTATTCTAGAAATCCACTGCTTAAAGTGTGGATCAATAAATATAACAGAAGACAATATGATGGGATATGAAATAGGCCATATAAAAAAATCCTCCAGGGGATTAAAGTAAATAGAACTTTTCTTAAAAATGAAAGAGAGATTTAAAAAAAAAAAAGTCAATTTATTTCTAAGTGATATAATATGAAAATGTTTATATATTCATTGCTTTTTCCATATTGTGTATGTTTTGAAGTTTTCATTGCAGTGTTTCTGATTATTTTCTGATTTTAATAGTAATTAGTATAATATTATTGGAAATAAAATTGTTTTCAGTAATTATTAGTAATAAATTAAGTTCTTACTAGAACTGAGTATATGAAATTTCAAACTGTTCTCGATTTGAAAGTTTGATAAAGATGCAAAACTATATATGTATATATTAAAAGATACACTGTAGAATAAACAACATAGTAATTTAATAATCCATATATCACTGAGMTATATTAATGAGTTAAGAGATATGCCTATTGATAGTGCAAGAGGCATGCCTTTTAAAAATGAATAATTTCCTTTTTTCCTTTTTTAATTCTTCAGTCATCTGCATCCAGAATCAACCACCAAATTTATGTGGAACATCCATTTAAGTAAAGTTCTTTTTTGGACTTTTGCACCAAAATTTGTTTTTAAGCACTTAATACAGAAAATATTTTTATTATTATTTTAAAGAAAACTCTGAAATCATACAATTAAAAGTTGCCCTCTGTTCCATTTAGATGTCAAGAAGATGATTATCCTAATGTTTACTATAAATACACTTGATAGCTGACAAAGATGGCGGCTCAACGGCGAGTGAGGAGAGAGGGAGAAAGAAGACAGCAGGACTGACAGATTAGCTGGGGAGGTCAGAGCTCCCCCAGGACCTCCATTTCATTTATCAGAATCTAAAAATAAACACATTGAAGCATTAGGATCAAAGAATCCAAAATATTTTCTGAATATATCTGGAAAAACTAAACTTTTTCTTCCTACTTCAAAAATTAATCTAAAAATCAGGTAAAAGTATGGAGATACAATGAAAATGTTGTCTTGATTTTTTTTTTCATGGAATCTGTAGTCTCTTGAAAGAACATATTTGACGTGCATATCAAATACTACATGATTATTTCTAGACACCTTGAAAATAAGTTTAAAGTAATTGTTATATACAGAATTTGAAAACTCACATCCTAAAACCATTACAGAATATATTCATTTATTAGATCTGGTCTTAAATCCTCTCATTAAATATCCAATTCATTGTCATCCAAAATAAACAAATAACAACAAAATGCTTACAAGAGAAAACACAAACAGGTGGCTAACAGTGGAAACATGACATCATCTCTGTTCTTTAGAATAAATTAGACAGTAGCTTTTTCCTCCCTTAACCTAAACTGGCTTTTGATTTTCTGATAATTCACTGTAATAGTACCTCATCATGGCAACTGGTATTTCCAGGATTTTCACAGTCTTTGTTATGATTTTCGCCCTCTTCTTCTTTTTCAGAAGGAGATGAACTCTCCTTTCTTTCTGTTGGAGCAGTAACTGTTTTCTCAGGTTGAACATTTGAATTTCCAGTATCACTGTCCTCTGTGTTTTCTGGTTTGGCAGCTTCATTGCTGGGCTCTGGGCTGGGCCTGTCTGTCTCTTCCCCAGACTCTTTTGGTGCCACTTTTTTTTCTTCAGCTGTTTTGCTATTTAAATGAACAGCTGAAGAGGAAGTTTTGGAGTCCTTGGATTTTTTGTGCATAGACTGTGTTTGACTGTTATGACTAGAGGCAGGAGGGGCCGGCATTTTCTGAGCTTTGCTTCCCTCTGATTGTTCTTTTTTAGGTGGTCCCCAGATAAAATTCTCTGAAGGTGTGTAATGTTTCTGGGCAAACCGCAGGAGCTTTCTCCTTTCTCTTCGATCTCTAATTGTATAAACAAAATACTCCAGAGCACTCTGCTTAATATTGGGAATAGTGTTTTCCACAAGAGCTTCATGAAGAATAAATTTTACAAGAGGAGATTTAAAATTTTCATATCCAAGCTCACCAAGGCTTTTGAGAATACGGGTGATTCTTAAATAGTTGTGCTGGGACCTGGAAGAGAGGATTGAATAAAATGAGGTGGATGGTGAAAACTAAGGGGAAGAAAGCAGGAGAATACAAACGATTGGGAAAACATATTTTTTATGGAAGTGCAAGACAAGGAAATATGCCTTGTAATGATTTTCTTAAATATTGATAAAAAGAATAAGAGTTTATGAAAACTTTACACCTCAATGTAATCTCAATCTATGTGAAACTCAAATGTATAAAACAAACTCTGCCCTTTTAGTTCTTTGTATTGGAAAAATATTTAGATTTGAATTTATGCCCCCTGGTATTAAATTATTTATTTATTAAATTCACCAAGGACTGAGGACAAGTGGTTTAAAAGAGCATTTATAGGAGCTACCACAACCAGCCATAGCATAGTACCATATCATTATATGAACGGTGAGTACAGTACAATAAAATATTTTGAGAAAGCAAGAAAGACCATGTTCACATAATATTTTTATAGTATATCATTAAAACTGTTCCGTTTATTTATTAGTTGTTGTTATTAATCCCTTACCATGCCTAATTTACAAACTAAACTATATCAAAGGCATGTATGTATAAGAATAAACCATAGTATACATAGGATTCTACACCTTCCATGGTTTCAGGCATCCACGCGGTGCTTGGAACCTATACCTTGTGGATAAGGGGTAACTTCTGTATCTGCAACACTACCAATGATTTATAGTACTCATCAAAGGTAGCTAGGGTTGAACATAAAAACGTTAACTAACAGCTGAATGGTGTTATTAATAGTGTCCACTAACCAGCAAAATCCATCTTGTAAGCCAAATTCACAAGGAAAGCAGCAAAAACCATTCTGCCTGGCTAGAACAATTCTGACAAAGGATGCAAAAATGACTTATTTAACAGAGCATCATTTAACAGTTGAGAGCATGGGCCTCAGAGTCAGTCATACTCTGGCTCTGTCACTTAGCAGCTATGTGAAATCATGACGACTCTTTTAGTATCTTCATCTGCAAAGTGGGACAAACATCCCACAACTTACTGGACTTTTGTAAAAATCAAGTGAATTTATAGATATATAAGGCATGAAAAACTTAACAAATATCAGATACTGTTTAACATGATTATTCTTATCATTATCTCTAAAGATTTATTATTGTGAACCACCAARTTTGTATCTGTTCCAAATTAATAACCTAATTCTCTTCCATCCTGGTCACTCTCACCTCCTCTTACACTATCAGAAAAATTTAAATCTCATTTCTGTGGGCCTTGATTCCAAAGATGCAATCTTTCCCCAAATTACACTAATATCTTTCCTCTCTATCTCAAAACTAAGGCCATTATTGGATTAATGCTTTCCCAGAGTTTTTTTTTTTTTTTCACTATTCATACTCTACTTCCACAAACTCATYCAGCTCAATCCTTGCCTTACCAAAGCCTAAAGAAGTCTTCAGCTACACGTATTAATCATGTCTGTCATCAACAGCTCAGGTAGGTATTAYCCAACATTCCCACTCAACCAGAACCAGCACTTAAATTTCTTACTTTCTGAAACCTGTTTTATAGCTCAGTCACTTCACTTTTTACAAAGTTCTGTCCTAGCTTCCAAAAGTACTCAGAGTCTTTACTTAGGAATAACTAGGGAATTATTTGAGAATGGTGAAGAAGGATATTGACAAATTATTTTAGGTATGGAAAGGGGTTTTTCCATGGCCTTATATTTTAATGAAAGAATGTGAACAAAACAAAATCTTAATGATTCAGGCTAACCATATACTGGAAAAGACAAGTGTAACAATAATTTTTAACATCTCTATCCTTCTGGATGTTTTCCAAGTATTATACTAAGTATTGTTATACTAAGTAGTGTCTTTACATCCAACTTTTTGAAGCCCAAAGGGCAAAAAATAGCACAGATATGTTTTAGTTTTATGAATTTGTATTTTTTCATAGTTAGGAAATAAGAGTCTTAGGAGACAGTACAATCTGGGTGAAGTTAAGACAATGTGTCACCAACAGTAGAATTGACTTAATTGTTAACATTTGTATGGAGTTTGTGTATTTGAACAACTTAGTGACAAAACTCTTGAGGAACATCTGCTTCATATGTCTGTGAAAAATTAATGTATGGAAAGGTGGAAGAATGTTTACAAGAGATGCTATGTGACAAAATGAATATGTATTTGCAGCCAGCTCAATTTCATACAATTAATCTTCAATGAATGGTCAAATTAAAATATCTGTACATTTATCTTTATCTACATATTCTCCAGTTAATATATTTACAGTATAAAAGGACAAAAACTTGGGTTGAAGAAAATGATGATCAGGAATTGGAAATAAAATTACAGAAGAGAACAATTGGGTGTTTCAGTATGATTTGACGTGTCACAATGAATGAGAGGAGAGTGGCTAAAACCCACTAGTGTTACAAGCAGTCTTGAGGATGTACAACACATAGAAAAGCAATTGGGCTTCAACAGATGTAAAGGCAATAAACAGTCGGGCATGGTCAGGAAACTAGATAKGTGAAGAGAGAACACACAAAAAGCAAGAACCAGAAAATAGGAAAGTTAGAAGGGATTTCTGGGCCTAACATATGTCCCCACTATGGCTCAGTAATCTCAGCTGATTACAAATAAAATCATAATTACACCTTAGTGGTTGGTCTATATCTCTATACTCTCATGACTGGAAATATTTCACTTCTTTTAAAATGGTCACTTGTTTACTCCATGTTATTGTATTTCYTTTGATTCAATAATTTTCCTTTGCTTAGCTACTATAAGTATACTGAATTCTTTGCCTATTCTAGAAAACTTAAGATGCCATACAGATTAAAACACATATACACTGTGACATTTAAGAATAAATGAGAAAAGGACTCAACAGAAGAAGAAGATGGAATAGACATTTTCATATCATCCCACATGATTTGTTCAAATCTAGTTGAAAAAATTTTTGGCAACTAAACTAGAGAGGAAATGTTTTTTGGCAGATTCTAAGACAGTTAATCCAGAACTGGAAAGGCAAAGAAAGACAGTGCACAGTAGAGGAAAGGTAGCTAGATGGAGCAGAGTGRGAAGGATTGTTAATTCAGACTCCCCTCCCTGACTCAAGCCAGGAGATCTTTCAGCTAAAGCCTTCAGAAAGGGCCCTGTTTATAGCTATAAATCAGAGGATCTGACAATAAAACCCAAGGAGGATTTGAGTCTGAAAACTACATTTTGTTCATGATTTATTCATTCAACAAAAAATTTACTAAACAAAATTGCTATTCTGATCAAAACCAAGTTGAGAAAAAGAGACTTTGAAATGCTAGATGTGAGTACAAAAAAAATGTGGCCCTATCCGACCCTTTCTAAAGTCTTACTTCAACCATCCTTCCTAACAATAGACTACTAGCATACAGCTTTCTTTGACAGCGTGACCTAAGTGCTTAGAAACTTTGTCCAGAGATACTTACCTGCACTGCTCAGGTAGAGATCACACAMACACACACACACACACACACACACACACACACACCAAAACTTAACTTGAGTTATGAGTTAAGGGGTGGCTAATCAGGATCATAATCGGTATGCACATATCCTCAATATTTTCTTACAAGTTGCCATTTTAATAGTGTTGATAATAACTAAAAAGGAAAAAGAAGGCTCAACTTTTTTATACCCATTTTACCAAAGCAAGACGAAAGTCCTAGAAGACAAATAATTTACATAACTGATGCCAAAATTCACATTGTTCTGACCAAAGAATTACTTAAGTTTGTTCTCTTTTTTTCCTCTTACTACTTGCCCAGTTAGCTAATTATAATGTGCTAAAAAGTGCTTTAAAACTGTTGGTTTTATAGTCCAGCTCTTATAAGTCACTCTATAATTAAAAGAAAAAAAAAAGCCAGTGTGCGTATGAAGAAAATATTTTTAAAAATAAGCTTTTGGTTATAAGTATTGGTGAAAGTTATAAATATCCAAGCAAAATAAAAATAGCAGAACATATCCAAATAAGCTATGTTAAATTTTTCTTGTAGGTTTTGGGGGTTAGTAGCTAAAACATGTGTTTTTGATTTTACCTAAATAGTAAAGATAATTATAATATTTCCTCTGTTTTAGTAAAAGGCACAGGCACATCTTGTTCCTATAATATGATTGTTATACATCATAGGCTTAAATCATGAATTTAATCTAAGAAGCATCAAGCTTGAAGGTGTTAGAAACTGACTGTGACCCAAGAAGCCCAGTAGAAGGAAAACAAAAGGTTGCATGTAAACAATAACCATAAATTCCAAATACTGTGGTAGGAAGAGGGTAAGAAGCTCATTTGGCCACACGTAGGAACTTCAGCAAGAAACAGCTATGAAGCTAAACTGCTGTGTTTCTACTTGAAATTTAGTTCTTTTTCATTATTGTTTTATTTTAGAATATTGAACAAGGAATAAAATGCATTTCAGAGTGAATTCTGAACATAAATTATTGGCCCAACTGCTAGCTATTCCTATGTTCCACAGAGAACTCTGACTACAGGAAAATACCATTTATTTATCACAAGGGCTTTACTTACTCATTCAGATGCTGAAATCTTTCCTGCCAGTTAACAGCCCGAGCAACATTTCCATTTTTATCAATCAGTTTTATTCCAAAAAATTCAAGCATCATTTTATAAGCCAGGAGGAATCTTCTAATTGCTTCTTTTGTTTTTTTGAATTCCTAATAAGAAAAATGGAAAAAAGGGTCAGCTGACATGACTTAGTAGCTACCAGGAAAATAAAATGACACTATTATTTGGCCACTTTACATAAAATGAAATGAGTCTGCATTACCTCAATTTCATATGTAGTTAGTTCTTTAGCATAAAAGTTCAAGCCTTGTTCTCTCAGGGGAAAAAGCCTATTTTTTAAAAAAATAAATTTTTTTCTATTAACATTGTCTGTAAAGCATACATAATTAAATAGGAAATGGTTCAAGATAGATAAAATGTAGCTGACCATTGAATGTAAGTGTGGTTGTGCTCCAGCTTTTCATAATCTCCTTTCCATTTATTTAAAACTTCTTCAATGTAAACACCTAAACAGTAAATATTCAGAAAATGAAAGAGAGGATTAAAACACTGTGAAGGCATTTTAAGATTTGAATTACCTGAATTTTATATTAAAACTTTTTAAAATTTAAAAATAGTACACAAGAATAATGGTTTTTAAAGAAGAATATCCTATCCATATACTCAGTTATAAGCACAAAAAAATTAATAGTACTCAAATCACAGAACATTCTATTGGGCAATGTACTCTACAGTAGAGGTTGGCAAACCCTGGCCTGCCAGCTATTTTATAAAGTTTTATCAGAACACAGCTACAAAGATTAATTTATGTATTATCTATGGTTGCTTTTATACTATAATAGCAAAGTTGAGTAGCTGGCAACAGAGACTTGCTAATCTACAAATATTTACTACCTGCCCTGTAAGAAAAAATTCTCTGTATTCTCCTGTTTTACTAAGGAAATTGTGCAATTTGCTGCTCACACACTAGGGAAAAAATAAATCTAGGGAGTAGAACATAGGTCTTTTTATTTCTGGAGAGTATGCTCTTTTACCATGTCCCAGTGTTCCCCTACAAGAACTTACTATGGTAAAATCCTCCTGATATTCAAGTCTATCAAGGTCCTTACAATTGACTATGTAGCCATTAAGTCAATCTTATGAAAATAGAAGCATAGTACTTCTCTAAACATAGCTCACTTCCTTCTTTCCTCCAGACATCACCATTTCCATACTTGGTAAAATGCTAAAACCATTTGCCTTTGTCATTGTTTTCCCCTCCAATGACCTCTGTTCCTACTTGATAAGTAAAATATACCACAGCAAATTATGCTTACTGGCAAGTGTGCATTTGTGTGTACACACAGGAGAGCAAAGTATGTGAATTGACACATTTGTGTAATACACTAGAATAAGGTTTAATGTGACCTTAGCTAACATTTTTGACCCCCATTATCTAAGGTTTCAAAATAAATTTTGTGATAAAATACAAAAAATTTTATGTGTTGCTTGAAGCTGCCAGAGCTTTAAATTATTAACTCAAAAATAAATTCACCACTAGAAATGTAAAAATAGAGTTAAATACTGTCATAAATTTATGTTCAATATTTCTAACACTTAAAGGCACTTCTTTAGCTGAGTTTTATGACATTCAAATTAGAGACAAATCAACAAACTATATGCGTTTCTTCAAAAGGTTTTCTTACACCAAGTCCTAACAAAACTAATAATTTAGTTAATATTTTTCCATTGACTAAAATAAAAGCAGCATATTTCTATCATTAGTAATCAGAAAGTGCATTTTTATCCAGAGGTTTTCCTTCAAATTCAAGCAGGCTTTTAGAACACCAGAAAGTTCAAAAACAGCAGATGTGGCCACTTGACTCCCAATTTATACATTTCTCAGTACACAAATTGGGACTCCCTGCTCTTAATACCCAATCCAGCCTTTAGATCTCTTTCCTCCAGTTCAAGGAGGAAAAGCAGGATCTCTTTCCTCTAGTTTACCAAAGAATGCAATATCTTGCCACCTTGAAAGTCTTACAATCCATGATCCTCATTTCCTGAATCACTTTGATGTGGATTTGGCTCAGTTTCCATGAAGAACAAGGAGCAAGAACCAGAACTGTATAGTCATCTCAAACAGAAAGGGACTCTAAAGGGAGAAGTTGGCTTCAGCTTCCCTGGTTTGACCTGGATAAAATGAGGCTGCCCATCATGAACCACAGTGTGGTGCTTCAATGAAATATGCAATTTTGTGGTCAAATTACCATAGCAGCTGCATCCTCTCCCTAAGGGTTTGAAAAAGATTCTACAAGGGCAACTGTAGAGTTGTGAAGGAGACAAATTTTTTTGGCAGAAGTAGATGGAGATCTACCGCATCCTCACTCCCTGTCCCAGGATCCTGGAACACTAAACTGGGATGGCTGTATCTTCCTGACCCATAGCTCTGAAACTGACAGGAAAGATAATTCCAAATACAGACAGCATTTTCACTCACATTCTAAATAATTTAAGGGTATGGCATACTGGAAAGAACAGTGGACCCTAGAACCTAGACCTAACACGACAATTAGCTGAGTGACCCAGCAAGTCAATCACTGAACTCCCTCTGACCTCATTTTTAAGATGAGAAAGCTGAATTTGAGCTCCTCTAAAATCCTTAGTAGTCTAAAACTTTATGGTTCTATAAATCTCTTCTTTTCTGTTCACAAAACATTGCCCCTAGTACCTTTCAGATAATAGTGATGATATACAAATTGTGGGAAGGTATCACTAACAAATAGCTACTCCTCCAGAATTTACCAAGTGTGTCCACAATCCTAAAGCCTAGGACTTTGGAGACACATTTGACTGAATGGTAAAGTCAGTTTACAGATGCAATAAAAATGTACTAACCATGGAATAAACAAAGAATACCCAGGTGTATGCTATTATTTAAAGTTTGCTTTTTACCAAAGTAGCAGATTACTCACCATCTGGCTTAAATGGAATTTTATTCTTATAGAAACGAAGATTGCTCAAGTCATTTTGATATCGGATATCTTTGAAGTTCTGCTAAAGGAAAAAATAAATCAATCTCTAGTACATGGAAATACAAAAAAAGGAACAAGGACCCTTCTGATGTTTTTCTCATTGGCACCATAAAATTAGGAAAACAGAAGGGAAATATTTTACATTTAAAAGAAAAACATCCTACACTCTTACTGGGTACTGATGTCGGTATTTGTACAAATCCCTTGCAGCATAAAAACTTCTCTTTGGTTTGGCAGTTGCTTCAGAGGAATCACCACCCTAAAATAAAAAGTGAAACTCTATTTACATATTGATGCAAGAAAATTTCACTACAAAATTTCCAGAACAAATTTGAAATAATGAATACCCATAAAGAAAGTCTGAAAATTTTCAACTTGCCCAGAACAATAAAAAGATTATAATTGTCTTTTAGTAATAGTAGCAATATTTGCTACTATTCTGTTTTTCTTACTTGTACCAAAAATTTTTGCCCTATGGCATATTACTAAATTAAAGACTATTCACCAAATGCCTTTGGAGGACAAATGTTATGGATCGATATCCATCAGAAATAGAACTCAAATGAATTCAAAACATGTATTTTACCAGCTGTTACCCAAATGATCCTATGACAAAGCTTATTTTAGAATACTTTAGATAATACTAAAAAAAGTTAGAATGATAAATCAATTTTACAAAGAAAAATTGTCATTAAATTTGCAACATTTAGTTGTGCACAGAAGTCAAGCAATATTTATGAAAGGATGATTTTAAAACAAACTAAATAGCTTTCTAAACTCCATCCTTTATAGCACCATAACAAGTACACAAAAGCATGGGTAATCATCTGTTCATTTAATGATAATGTGAGGTGACATAAATCAGCAAATTTAAAATATATACACTCAAAACAATAAAATGTTCTCAAATGGAATGAACATCAGATTGAAGTAATTTACATGCGGTAGCTCACTCATAATATTTACATCCTAAGCTAAATTCTTATTCCCATGAAGTTCCTACCCCCCATTTTTAATGTAAAGATGCAGGTCAATATCATGAATTTGCATTCTCTAACTATACATATTGTTATAAAGTATGTTTTGTGTCCAGTTCACGCTGAAAGACAATGAGAACGACAAAAATGATGAAGACTACAATGTTTAGAACTGAATACTCATTATGAGCTTTGCTCCAAACTCTTTTCTCATTGTCCCTGCCCCCCTCTGTGTTGACAGACTGACATCCTCTAAGCAATTTTCACACATCTTTGAAGTGGTGTGATTCTCACTCTTACTACAAGTACAGAGATGCTTTAATACCAAATCCTCTGATATTTTACATTAGTTACTCCGTCATGTTACATAAACAAGGGAAAGTTTAAAGTCTGGCCCTTGCCACACGTTTCAAAATAGCTCTGCCTAGCAAGTTTCTGAATCTATTTAGCCTGAACTACAACCATATGAATCATCATCTTACACTTGTATAGAAAACACTTTTTCATTTATAAAGTACTTACATGTATATTATTTAATTTGATTCTTGCAACACACCTGGCTGACAATTATTAGTGTTTCCATCTTAGAAACAAGGTAACTGAGGTTAGGGGAAATTGAACAAGACCCAGGGCCCAGTGACAGTGCAAGAATAAGGCAGGTTCCAAGCCCAACTAATTAGGTCTGAATCAACTTCAGTTGCACTACAAGTGAAGGATATATGGAAAAATTAGTATAAGATTAATAGCCCAAGACTTGGAGTCAGACTAAGGTGAGTCTTAATTCTGCTACTTAGTATTTGTGAGGACTTAAGTAAATCACTTGGTTGAATCTAGTTTTATCATCTATGAAATGGAGATAATGACTCATGCCTTACCTGCTCCCCAGGATAATCATGAGAATGACTACACCCTCCAACCTCTAAGTGTATCAGCTTGACATATCTGTCACTGCACCTTCAGCCCCTATTTCTTTTGGACTCTGTCCTGACCCCATCTCCTGCTCAAGCAACATCTTGCTCCTTAACATATAGATCCTCTTACCTGGATCATCAAAATTTCCCTCTTCTCTGGATCAGTCTTCTCAGCAAACAAACATACTGTATATCTTTAATCTTGGAATAAACACACAACACCTTCCAAGGCCACCATCGATTATAGATCCTTATTTCTAATTTTATAGTAAATCATCAAATAATCACTCCTACTCCTCTTTCCTCCTTTTCTCTTTCACCATTGTCCACCCCAATCAGGCTTTATCCTCAGCATCCCTTCAAAATAGTTCTTGGGAACTTTGCCGACAAATCTCCATCTTGCCAAACCAATTTTCAATGCTCATCTCTGGTACCCTCCCAACAGCACAGAGCCAGTGAAGGCCTACATCCTTCCTGAAACACTGTTAGTACTTGGTTTTCAGGATACCACACTCTTAATTTACTTCTTGTCTCACTTATCCCCTTTGTCTACTTCCTTTTGGGGTTCCTTCTCTTTATATCTCTGAACACAGGAGTAACCAGGACTTAATTCTCATTCCTCCCCACTCCTGGATGACCTCTTATATTCTTGGACTTTATCTCTGATCTTAAATGCTCTACTCATAAATAAAATTAACTACTCAGCTGTTCTACTTGGATATCTAAAATTATATTAAACTCAAGAAAAACCTTGATTTACCCTCCAGAGCTGCTTTCTCCTTGAACTTTTTCATCTTAGTTAATGGTACCATCATTTATTTGTCCAATATTCACTGGGACTAGGATGACAATAGTGCAAGTGGTGAGAAGTAGTCAGTCTGTAATGTACTTTACAGGTAGCTCCAATAGTACTTGCAAATGGATTGACTGTTAGTGGGGAACAAATGGGGTGGACAGTCAAAAGGTTGAATTCAGACGTATTTTTTTTTTTTTAGAAGTTATATGGTGACACCAATGAGAATTAACCATTAAATGGGAATGAAAGGGTGCATGTGGTCTACTGTTTATTGTGGTTGCAATTACTTGTTTGAAACTTCAATTACATTGTTTCATACAGATTGACCTGGTTAATTGGATTGATATCCCAAATTTCTGAAGAAGTTCTATAGAAGTTAATTGGGAAGCAAATAGAAGGAGAAAACACCAGAACAGCATCTAATATTTCCCTAAGGTTAAATTAGCAATGTAAATGACAGAGGAGCCAACCAGAGCACAACAGGCAGAGGAGAGGTATACTCAGGATTCCAACAAGTCCAAGATTCTGACTGTGGTAATAGATGTACTTGGGTTTGTGTATTTCTCTTCCTATATGATCTTGGGCAGTTTCATTCTCTGTAAGCTTCAGTTTTCTCTAAAATGAAAACTAAAAGAAAAATTTCACCCTGAAATTGCAGCTCATTTAAATAGCATGTTTGGTCAGATCCTCCACTAAGAAAACATAGGTAGGTTCCTCCCTACCTATGCAGAATCATCATCAAGATGGATGAGGCAGAACTCACAGTAATAAGTAGGTGGTGGTTCCCCTAAAACCGGGAGGTCACATTGGTGTTTGGACTCTGTTTTCACACTCTCGCTGCTGCCCCATAACTGATAGAAGGCCTAATGAGGAACCACAAACCTCAAACACGAGGCACACTTCTTCATAGGGTGAAGAATATGTAGTTCCTCCTTTTTCAAGTTTCTGATTATTTTTTGAATCCAGAAGTTAAAGATGCCATTTACTTCTTTACTAACCTCTCGTCCAAACTGTATTAGTCGAATGGTTTAAGCATTGTTGGATCAACAAGTCTTCTAGGCGAAATAACACTTTTGAAGAATGTCCTGAACTTGGTGAAAGGCCTTACTTGGGATAAGAACTACGAAGTTTAACTTCGGATGAGAGGCTTCCGCAGTACTTTTAATGGCTGTAGACCCCACGGTAGGAGACACTGCCAGCTGCTTGGCAATTGCAGTCCCATTTTATTCGTAATACATTTTTTTTWAACCAATAACACGCACTAGTCGAGTTTTCACAATCCTCTATTTTTAGCCTGGTTCCTCCCACCCCACCTTCGCATTACCTCGCTGTGCTGCAGAGGCAAAGAAAACCCATTCAAGTTGGGTTTAAGCCCTGAGGGACTTCCCTGTCGTACCCAGAGTCAGGGCCCAGGCCAGCAGCGGGCGACCCCAGTGCCCCACGCCGCTGCAGGCCTCTCGGGTCAGCCGAGCCTCTAGACAGCCGCGGGCGCGGAGGGGTCGGGGCGCAGAAGACCAGCAGCCGCCCAGCACCCCTGCCCTCGGCACGAGGGGGTGCTCGGCGCTCGCTCCTCTCACCGGCGCTCAAGCCCGGCCCGAGGCCACCGGGGGCCGCGTACCTGCTCGGCGCCCGCCGCCTCGGCGTCCTCGTCCGGCGCAGGGCTGGCTCGGGGCCGCCCCCCAGCTCGCTCCGGAGGCTGCGCGGGCTCCTCGGGTTCCTGCCCCGGGCCCTCGCCGCCGCCGCCCGGCCCTGGCTCCTCCGGCTCCGGCTCCGGCTCCGAGTCCGTCTGCCAGGTGGAGTCGCAGTCCTCCACGGTGGTGGGCTCGCGGAAGCTGACCCCGCCGAGCAGGTTGCCCATTGAAGAGGCGGCGGCGGGCGCCGGGCTGCTGGGCGCGGGGCTGCTGGGCGCGCGGCGCGGGCTGCGGCAGGCACACTAGGGCCCGGGCATGGCCGCGGCCAGGGCGCTGGGCGGCAGCCTCGGCGCGCCCGCCGCCGCACTGCCTCAGCGCGGAGAGCAGCAGACAGGCACACTCGCGGGGAGGAGCCGGCGGCCCCAGGACCGCCGCCGCACACGCTCGAACCCGCCCATCTGGTTCCTTCTCCTCCCCACCGGCGGGAGCCAGTGTCGGCCCAGAGCCCGGGGAGCGCACTGCCACTCCCAGGCCCGGCCGTCTTTCCTGATCCCGGGTGAAGCGCCTCACTTCCACTCCCCGCTCTGGAAGGCCTGTCACCGTTTGGCCTTTGGCGTTGCCTGGGGTGCTTAGGGGTCTGGGGCTCCCTCTCCCCACCTGGGGCCAGGAACCACCATGGAGGGAACCACCTCCTAGCTGAGCAGGAAAGTGATCCCTCTGGGTTCTGAGAGTCAAGGGCTGGAAGTTATGTCAAGGGGGTGTCACTGTCAGCTGGTGGGTCCTGGCCATACCCCCCACCTCTTCTCCCTCTGGGCCAAGAGGAAGATAAATGAGCTGCAGCAGAAGAAGAYAAAAAGCTAATGGTGACTGGGCACCACATAAACAGGAAGACCAAGCAACTATGACTGCCCTTAGAGCAGTCACCTAGAATCCCTGTGATCTAAATAAGGATGTCACCTCATCTAAAAAGCAAACGTCTTTTGAAACAAAAAGAGCAATAATGGACCAGCACATTGATCTCTGATAGTGTTACCCCAACACCTCCTCCAAATCCATGCTCTGTGTAGATAAAATGCCTCCTTGGAACAAATAGGCTGATTATAAGGGAAGAATCTTTAGCTCCATGCTCTGTTCCATAAATGAAAGGAGGAGTGGGAACCACATTAAGAAATATTAAAGATAAACAACATCATCAAATAAGTCATTCAGAGAAAAATGACTATAATAGAATTTGTACCCTGACTTTCTAACTAGTAGGGAAAGGAAAGCCTCTAGGAGTCAGAGCCTTCTGTGTGTGTCTCTAAAGTATTGGTTCAAATATAGCCCAGTGCCTTGGACCACAGTCAACCTTGGTAGGCACTCAATAAACATTGTTGAATTGGACCAGAAATTGTACATAAATACGATTGGACAGTTGTACTTGGAATGGATGGTTTCTTTTTAAATGCTTCATGGTGAAAAGGATTCCAAATCAAGGGAGATGGGCTATTTCTAAGGGAAGAAGATCAGAGGAACAGGTCATCCATCACACAGTTAAGTCAGGATTGCCTCTCTTTAAGCATCACAATGACAATCCTTCATCTATGAAATGGGACCAGATTTCTATCTCCCAAGTGACTTCCAGTTCTGACCTTTTATAGTCTTATTTACTGGGAAAAGCTCTAAAACTAATAAGTAGACACATGACACATGAAAAGGCTTTTTGGTCATATGGTATGAAAGTTGATGATGTATACTGAAATTGCTTTCATCAGACCCAGACAAAATTAGAGCCAGGAAGCAATGAAGGGGCAAAGTCCGTGCTTGATTGAGATAAATACTTTCTCAAGGGCTTTCTAAGGCTCACAGGAGAGTTCTACAGAAACTAAGTGCTTTACACCTCTCTCTCACTATAACAGATTTTTGTAACAAAGTTTAAAGTTCTGTAAGACTGCAACAATACAAACAAGATAAACCTGGCAGAATACTTTCCCAGAAACAGTACTTCGCCCTATGAACTAATAGCAACTCCTTCCTCCCATTGCCAAGACCAATTAACTCTATCTTATGTAAATTTCCTCCCTTTTTGCCTTTAATAACTTCCCCTTGCTCAACTTTCTTAAATATACCCATAGCTCACTATGGCATCAGACTCCCATTGCAATGCTCTGCTATTCCCAAATAAATATCATTATTCTTTGGACAATTTCTCTCTGATTGTTATTTAGGTTGACAATAGCTTAGTGAAGAAAATGTGTGACAGCTGCAAAACATATGAATCCAACACTAAAAGTTGGGAATTTGATTCATCTTCYATCTGCAGAGGACCAGAACACCCTGTAAAAGTAAATGCTATCCACCCAGCCTAAAGCATTCCAGGGCCTGTAACAGAGAGAGTCTAGGGAGTTACTGGTGCTGTCTCAGTTGGTCGTAGGTGTACGTGAGTTGAAGACAACCATACTTTCTTTGTTCTCCTCTCATTAAGATCGTGTTTGAATCAGCTTTTTCCACCACTACGACTAAAAGACCTGACCAGAACAATTGTAAAGGAGAAGTTCAGTTTCAGAGGTCCCAGTCCATAGACAGCAAGCTCCATTCCTTGGAGCTTGAGATGAGGCAGAATATCATGGGGAAGACTGGCAGAGTGAAGCAGCTCACATAATGATCAGTGGCAAAGAAAAGGACTTTATTCATTAGATCCAAAATATATAACCCAAAGCCACACCCCCAATGGCCCACCTCCTCCAGCCAAACCCTACCCACCTTCAGTTCCCACCCAGTTAAACCCATCAAGGGACTAGTTCACTGATAGGATTAAGGATCTCGTGACCAGATCATTTCTCCTCTGAACTTTCTCACATCGTCTCCCACTTGAGCTTTTGGGGACCACCTCACATTCAAACCATAACATAGTCTTATCTCTAACTCTTGAATTGGGGCTGACCTCAGGGACTTGCTTGAAAATTAGAATCTGGAAAATGTGAAATTCTGAGATTTTCAACGTTAAACCATAAGGAACCTACATTTTCCAGTGGTTTTTGTTGTGGTAGTTATTGTTGTTTGTTTTGTTTTTTAATATTCACTGTGATATCCCTGAGCTGACATGTAAGTTCAACTACCTTGAGACTACCACACTAAAAAGGCTACTGGGTACAGGTGTCCTCTAGTCACCTGTCCCAGCTGAGCCCTACTTTGCAGCATCCCCTCATGGAGTCTAGTCATTTTTACTGAATCCTCCAGACCAATCTATCCATCAGCTGAATACCTTGGCTGTGACCTCCATTGACCCTACATAGAACACAGGAACCAGCCAGCAGAGCCCTTCTCAAAGTCCTGACCCACAGAACAGTAAAATGTTACAAAGTGGATGTTGTTAGGTCACTGAATTTTCCGGTAGTTTATTATACAGTTTTAGATAATGGAACAGTAAGAAGTATCTGTGTAAGCTTATATGTATTTGTGCACATAAATACATAAGTAAATGCTGCAACTAAATCCTTACCATTTCTAACATCTTTTGGCAAATATACCAGGGTTTTTTTTTKGGGGGGGGGGGAGGCTATAGATCCTGTGTGAATTTCTGCAATATATTTTCTAAAGAACATAACTGTAAATGAAATTACAACTTGATGTTATATTTTTTAAAGAAAGGCTAGAGCAATAGCTTGCCTGTATTTTAGCCACACTATACATTTAATAAAGTTAATTCTGTAGGTCTCTTATCCTTAGGTTCTACACACAGAAATTACTTTTCCTGAATGACCAATCTTTTTCATTATTGGTATTTTCAAGAGTATAGATCATTCCTGAATTGACAATAGAGACACGTGTCTTTGCAACATATTAAAAAATTTATCACTTTGTTAGGAGTAGTGGCATACATCTGTAGTCCCAGGGACTTGGGAGGCTGAGATAAGAGAATCACYTGTACCCAGGAGTTTAAGCTCAGGCTGGGCAAAATAGCAAGTAACTTTGTCAAACAACTCACCGCCTAGTCTTATTACCAGGGACATATCCATGTATCAATATATATTGCTTTTAATCAGTATATATCCAAGGTGTCTTTGAAGAACATTGGATTCAATCAATAATATAAATAAATATGGATTGAGAAAAAAATATTATCAAAAGGACAACTATTTAGTTTCTTACTTATATTCAGATTCTCTTTTAAATGATGCAGGTACWATAGCCCTGCTCCATTGTAACTGTGTTGTCAACTTTGTTTTGAAAGCTTTTAAGGAGAGGCCAGCTTAAGGAAGAACTGGTGCTTCGACTTGTACTTCATCCAAACTTTTTTTGGATGAAACCCAAATGCATCTGGCATATCTTGCATTGTCCTTTTTATAGTGAATTGTGTTTGGGGGACATTAACAAAGAAGGTTTGTTGTTATCTAATTTCCTTTGAGAGTTTTTTTTTTTTTTAAAGGAAAGGGCAGATCAAGGGCCATTTTATCCAACTTCAGGAGTTAACTCCTCCATAACTCCCTGGAACCCAAAACCTCTGGGGAAAAATAATATAAAAAATTAAAAATAATAAAGATAGCATTCCAAAGAAACATCTTAAATAAACAATAATGTATTATAATAGTCTGTGTTGGTTAGGTTTTCATCAGTGTGACCAAAATAGTATATCAGAACAATTTAGAAGAGGAAAAGTTTATTTGGACTCACTGTTTCAGAGGGTCACACCATGGTTAGTGGATTCCATTGCTCTGGGTCAGAGATGAGGCAGAACATCGTGGTGGAAAGCATAGTAGAGGAAAGCTGCCCAGCTCATGGCAGTGGGGGAAGCAAAGAGAGAGCTCACAAGCAGATGGGGCAAAATACACAATCCCCAAGGCACATCCCTAGTAACCCACTTCCTCTAACTATACCCCACCTGTCTACAGTTATCACCTAGGAATCTGTTCAAACTATTATTAATCCACTAAATGGATTAATCCACTAATTCAGTTACAACTTTAATAATATAGTCATGTCACACTAAAAAGCATTAACATTAACACAGGAGCTTTAATACAGGAAGCATTAACACATGAGCTTTGGGGGGATGCTTCATAACCAAACCATTATACAGTCTCTTTCACTAACCATAGTCAGGGTCTTTGCTAACAACTTTGGGGTCYTTGTGCCCTTGAGAATAACACGCACCTTATTCTAGGGTTTGTTGAGCTGGACCCCTCACAGCAATTTAAATTGACAGCTTTATGCAGAACACATCCCAGCCTGCACAACATTACATGGAGTCTCTGACTAGGCCAGCCTTGCTGAAAATTTCCTAAGACAGGAGTATCTTAA